CTTATTTAATATTAATAAGTATTAAATAAGCATTAATACTTATAATAAGTATTAAATAAGTATTAATATTAATAAGTATTAAATAAGTATTAAATAAGTATTAATAAGTATTAAATAAGTATTAATAAGTATTAATAAGTATTAATAAGTATTTAATACTTATTAATATTAATAAGTATTAAAATTTAATACTTATTAATATAACTATTTTTGATAAATAATTTTTCCACAATAAAGAATAGTAAGAAGAATTACTTTGTTTTTAAATTTTAAAAGGCCCCTATCCCGGCCAGCTCTATTCCAGATTGTGTCCCCCCCGCCCCCGCACCTTGCATGGGAGAGAGGCCGGCCGGCCGGCCAACCTTCTGTGTCCTCTCCTCCCAGTCCACCCGGCCTAATTGGCCCTGATAGGAGCAGGCCGGCAGAACCCCACTGAGCATGAATTTGTGCACTGGGCCTCCAGTTGTAACTAATGCTGCAGTGAACATAAGGGTGTATATATTCTTTTGAATTAGTGGTTTTTTTTGTTTGTTTGTTTGTTTTGCTTTGTTTTTCATATATATCCCCAGAAATAGATTTGCTGTATCATAAGGCAGTTCCATTTTTGATTTTTTGAGGAAATTCCATACTGCTTTCCCACCAACAGTGCACAAGTATGAAGTGATATTTCATTGTGGTTTTAATTTGCATCTTTCTGAAGGTTAGTGACATTGAGCATTTTGTATAATAAAGAGGTAATATGTAAATTGACTGTCATGCCCTTGCACAAGATGGCTGGCAGGGGAGGGTAATTGTGGGCAATCAGGCCAGCAGGGGAGGGCAGTTGTGTGCGACCAGGCCTGCAAGGAAGGGCAGTTAGGGACGACGGGGCCGGCAGGGGAGGGCAGTTTGGGGTGAGTGGGCCGGCAGGGGAGGGCAGTAGGGGCGGACCAGGCCTGCAGGGGAGGGCAATTGTGGGTGACCAGACCTGCAGGGAAGGGTAGTTGGGGGGATCAGGCCTGTAGGGGAGGGCAATTGGGGGTGACTAGGTTGGCAGGGGAGGGCAATTGGGCCAGCAGGGGAGCAGTTAGGTGTCGATCAGGCTGGCAGGGGAGTGGTTAGGTGGTGGTCAGGCTGGCAGGCAGAAGCAGTTAGGGGCAATCAGGCAGGCAGGCATGCAAGCAGTTGGGAGCCAGCTGTCCTGGATTGTGAGAGGGATGTCTGACTACTGGTTTAGGAAATGGGGCCTAAGTGGGCAGTTGGACATCCCTCGAGGTGTCCCAAATTGGATAGGGTGCAGGCTGGGCTGAGGGACACCCCCTCCAGTGCATGAATTTTGTGCACTGGGTCTCTAGTCTTTTCATATAATAATAAATATTCTTGATGTACTTTAGCTATCAAAAGCAGATAAATAATATATTTTGTTTAAGAAAACAGGATTAGTACATTTTAAAAAAAATACTGGCCAGACTACATGATGAAACATGTGATAGCTAACCTAATATGAATAATTTTTTATTCAAGACGTATGAACTGCTTCTTTGTTGTATTTATAATAATTATATTTATAATAATATCCTGACATTATTATAAATATACTATTCTAGATATTTGTTTAAAATTCCAAGAAAAAAGATGATGTAGTAGCTAATTGTAACACTAGGTGGTGGTAATGACTTTAGAAATTAAAGTTGAAATGTTTGCAACATATGTATTCTTTTTGAATTTGAAACATTTAGTGCTGCTTATATTTTGAATTTTGAATTTGAAACATTTAGTGCTGCTTACATTTCAGAAGGAAAGGAGGGAAAAATATGCCAGGCTATACAATACCCTTTCTACCTGTTTGGGCTCCTCACCACTTTATCTTTTTCCTTTGAATGCTATAATCCAATGCTTCTCAAATTTGTTGGTCTCATGCCCTTTATACTCTTAAAAATTACTGAGTATCCTAAAGAGCTTTCACTAATGTGAGCCATAAGTAAATAATGGTTAGTTTTTTTTTTCTTGTTAGAAATTAAGACTGAGAAATTTAATACTTATTAATATAACTATTTTTGATAAATAATTTTTCCACAATAAAGAATAGTAAGAAGAATTACTTTGTTTTTAAATTTTAAATCCCTTTAATGTTTAGGTTATTAATAGAAAGCTGGATTTCTGTATTGTTTACAGATTCAATTTGTTGGAATATAACATCATTTATTTTCTGGAAAATTTCACTCCATGTTTGTGAGAGTATAAGAATAAAAAAGGCAACTAATGGCTTTGTATGAAAATCATTTTTATTTCACATAGTCTCTCAAAGGGTCTTGTGGACCCCAAAGAATCCAAAACTACAATATAAGAACTATTGCTTTACCTCCTGTGTGCCTGTAAGAAACTAATGAAGAAATGCAAACTACATGCATACGTACTTTGTATTAACTTTGAATTTACAAATACTAAAGCTTAAACCACCAGTTTTTGGCTTATTCCATCTGTATGTTGCACTTAAGGATATATTTACAACAAAAATGCCTGAGTCGATATTATCACATTAATTGATAAGAAAAACATAATTTCCTAATAGAGAAAAGGACATAATTTAAAAAATATATATATTTTATTGATTTTTTACAGAGAGGAAGAGAGAGGGATAGAGAGTTAGAAACATTGATGAAAAAGAATCATAGATGAGCTGCCTCTTGCACACCCCTTACTGGGGATGTGCCCACAACCAAGGTACATGCCCTTGATCGGAAATGAACCTGAGACCTTTCAGTCCCCAGGCCGACGCTCTATCCACTGAGCCAAACCGGTTTTGGCAGGACATAATTTTTTACCAGAAAAAATACTTATTAGAAATACATATGGACCTAAATTATTATCAGAGTTCTAGTTAATGTATATTAGCTGAAATCTATAATCTGTGAAGTCTTTAATATCATCACAATTACACCTCTGTTGTGAAGTAATCTCTTATTTCTTCATTTTCTACACTGAGTGGCCAGATTATTATGACCTTGGAATGCATAATTATTGGCCACTCAGTGTATATCTTATATAATAAAAGGCTAATATGCAAATTGTCTCCTCGGCCAGGAGTTCAACCAGCAGGAAGGCCGGCCAACCGCCCGTGCTCCTTCCCCCTGGTCATGCTGACCGGACCCCACCCATGCTTGAATTCATGCATCGGGCCTCTAATGTATATATCCTATATAATCCTACCTAATAAAAGAGAAACATTGACCACACCTTCGTCATGCCCACAAGCCCCGCCCACCAGCCAGTCAGGGTGAGTATGCAAATTAACCCAGCCAAGATGGTGGTTAATTTGCATATCCAGGCCAGAGCAAAGACTGAATACTGTGTAGAAAGAAGCCAAGCACTGCAGAAGGGAGTGAAGCTTCGGAGAAGCAAGCAAGAGGGGCGGGGGAAGAAAGGAGAGGGAAGCAGGCAGGGCAGGGAGAAGGGCAGAAAGCGAGCAGGCTGGTGGAGAAGGGAGGGAAGCAGGTGGGGCAGAAAGCCCTATTGAAGGAATCTTCCTGCAATGGGCCTTTAGTAAAAGAATAATATTTAAATTGACTGTCACACAAGACACAAAATAGCCACCCCATATTGTCAAAGATGGCTGCCCCATGTGGACACAAGATAGCCGCCACAAGATGGCCTGCAGGAGAGGGCAGTTGTGGAAAGTTAGAGGTGACCAGACCAACAGGGGAGGGCAATTGGGGGTGACCAGGCCAGCAAGGGAGGGCAATTGGAGGGGACCAAGGCTTTCAGGGGAGGGCAGTTGGGGGAACCAGGTCTGTAGGAAAGGACAGTGGGGGAGCCAGGCATGCGGGAGCCAGGTCTGTAGAGAATGGCAGTTGAGGGAGACCCAGGCCTACAGGGGAGGGCAGTTGTGGGGGACAAGGCCTGCAGGGGAGGGATCAGGCCAGCAGGGGTGGGCACACACACACACACACACACACACACACACACACACACACACACGAGTGGCCAGATTATTATGTGTTCAGAGATCTTAATGATCTGGCCACTCTGTGTGTGCTTTGTTCTTCGTAATCTACATTCACAACATCAATCCTTGTCTTTATGCTAATGATTCCTAACTCTGTGTCCAAGCCAACCTGACCTCTCTTCCCTGTGTTTCCCAGACTGAATTCCAGTTGTGTATCTCTCTAGGTAGAAGTCAGAAAGGTTCCTCAGTCCCCGGTTACATAAAACCAAGCTCATGTTCTCCCTTCAGATCACTCTAGCACCTACTCCTCCTTAATTCTCTCTTTTAGTTAATCACCATTATTAAGGCTGGGAACCTTTAAGAAACCTTTGATGATTTTTTCACCCATTAAATACACTGATTTTTCATGTCTCTTTGTTGTTTTCTCTGTCTTGAATTTTCTTCTTCTTAACCTGGAAAATGACTACATATATTTAGATCTCAAAAGTTACCACTTCTGTACATAGTTAGCAGATATTTTTATATCACTATAAATATGTGTTTGTGTAAACAGAGTGAAAGCACATATTGTTTTTTTTATCTCTCCCTTGATGAATTATTAGCTTTGTAAGGCAGGTACTGTGTTCTAGTCATCTTTATTTCCCCAGTCTTTAGCATATTTTGTAGGTTTATTTATAGGTGAGTGAGAATGGTATCAACTGTCCTTGGGTCAAGTATTGTGCAGGTAGGTTCACTGCTGCCCAATGTTAAATTTTACAAATCATGATTAGCATATCTTTTCCAATAATTCCTTAGTTTCATGGAGAAATTCCTCCATTATAAAAGTTAACACTGAATATAATGTTTCATAAATACATTTAATATACATCTGAAGTATCACAAACCTGATCTAATGGTATTTATAATGAATAGTACTATAATTATGACGATGTTTACTCTTAACAATAAAAATGTGCTAGGTTTAAGTATAGTTTGAGGTAAAGGTTTTGATATAGAATGTATCTATACATACATATTGCCTTGTAAGTACTTTTCAGATTTATGTATACTAATACATGCTAATTTCTGTTTGCAGAACTTCTTGGTATACACGAACAATCAGCTGTAGGGTTCTTAACATTAATGGAAGCTTTAAGATACTGTAAGGTAAGTTGATTTTTAAGGTACTTTGAATGGTCTACATTCACATGTTCACTATTGTGGATAGTATTTTTCTTCTATGACAACATATTTTAGTTTATTACTACTGTTATTATATATTCTCATCAGATTATTGCTGGTCTTCCTTTCTAAAATGACAGGCATATTAAGGGAAGAGTTAAACTGGCTGATCAGGCAGAGTTTCCTAATTTGAGGTTTGTTCCTTTTTGAGGGTGGGGGGAAGAACCCAATATATTGTGAAAATAGAGACTTCTGTTGTTGAATATAAATGTGTTTTTTTGGTAAACTGAGGGAAAAGAATGTGCTCTTTCTTCCTTACCAACCAACGGTGTGCTTCACTGAAACAACTGGTAGTACTTTATTAGGCAAAGAAAAAGAACCTGCTGAATGCTGAAATTATAACTTTTATTTGTTCCATCCGAAAATGGTTTCACACTGGCGAAGGAGAATTCTAAGCATTTAATAGAATTAAACTCTTTAACACATGTGAAGATTAGTAACTGCCATGAAACCCTCTTTTATTGATAAATATTTTATTGCTTTCTTACACAATCTGAAATAAGTACTGGCTGTTCCAGTAGTTTTAAATCATTAGTAATTTGCAATTAAGGTGTTCCCATTTTGGAGGAAGAAAAAAACCTAATGTTATTTTCATTTCTGAATGGTGGTTCCATGGCAGTGGTTTGGTGGTGGTGATTAGTTTGAGTAACAGTAACAGTGTCTTGTGCCCTTCCTTTCTCCCGCTTCCCCACCTTTTTTTTTTTTTTTTTTTTTTAACCAGAAAGCATTCCTCTTTCAAGACAGTCAGTCCTTCGACGGGGGTGATATGGGCATAACAATCAAACAGGTTTTATCCAGCTCTTATTCATTTTAATTATTATAAAGTTAAACAGTAGCAGCTCTTCTTTTTAGTGACTTGAGTTATACAAGATAAAATTATTCTGAGTTTTCCTGACAACCAGTGAATAAATATTTTATTGCTTTCTTCTACACACACACACACACACACACACACACACACACACACCTGCGTGCGCACACATATAAAACAGGAACTGCCATGAAACCCTCATTTATTGGTATATATTTCATTGCTATAGAGGAGATATATATATATATTAATTTATTAAACAGGCAAGCCCTTTCCTGTCTGACAAGTCTTTATACTTGCTATCATTTCTGCCAGAAATATTCTACTCTCCCCTTCAGGTCCTACTTCAAATGATGCCTCAAAGACCCTTTCCTTAATCATTCCCTCAGTGAATCGTCCCATCATGATTTCTTAGGAATAGTCGCTTTGAACTGATCTTATTTGGTTACCCTGTTTCCCTGAAAATAAGACAGTGTCTTATATTAATTTTTGCTCCCAAAGATGCGCTAGGTCTTATTTTCAGGGGATGTTTATTTTTCCATGAAGAAGAATACAGTACACATTTATTGTTAAATTAAAATAAAGGAAATTTATTACCTGTATACAGTACGGTAGTACGGTAGTTGTTAACACAAACCAGACAAACTGTGAATCCTACAGTATCAAGAATTTACTCATTTATTCAGTGACAGTCATGTCATTATCTTCTGGAACATCATCATAACAATTCAATTTCTGAATTTCCTGGTGAATTTCTTGTGACTATTTCTTTCAGAATCAGTGGACCAAATCTCTCCTGTTTAGCCTGGGGAGGGAGAGGCTTATTTTTTGGGGGATGCCTTATATTTCACTCAGAAGGAAACCTGTAAGTAGGTCTTATTTTCGGAGGATGTCTTATTTTCGGGGAAACACAGCACTTACATTTTTTATAATTTTGAATTTGTTTTTTCGTTGCTATCCCTAATTTGAAGGCAAGTAGGCACATTGTTTCTAGGTACATACGTAGTGACAGTCATGCTCAATAAAAGTAGGTGCTCAATAAATATTGTTGCACGAATGAGTGGAAAATTGTACTATAACTGTAGGCTTTTCTAAATGTGTGATTTAGCTCTGCTTTAACTGTTAGGCACAACAGAGCGATGTCTGTTTCCCCAGGACCTTAGTAGAAAGTTTTCTGCTGCTGTGTGTTCTCTTGTTATTCTCTAGTATTCTAGCAGCAACTATGGTGTTATATAAGATTTAAATGTGTTTTTTTTTGTTTTGTTTTTAGTGGCAGGACACAGCATATTGACACTCAGAGGAAAAGCAGATCTGTTAGTTACTGACAGCTCCTAACCAGAGCTGGGCCACACAGGAGTTACACCTGGGTACAGGCCAACAACAAGCTTATGTATGGGAATTGAGGGTAGAGTTAGCTACATTTCATGGGCTCAGTGTGGATTGGCTAATTTGAATAGTTTCCATGAGCTTAGGGGCTAAAGGCCTGTCCCTGGTGGTATGGTTCCTGGTTCCAGGGCCATTAGGGCAATGCATAATGATGTGGAGTGTGAGAGATTTCTAGGGAAAGTGGTTGGGGTTTGGACTTACTCAGCAGTCTTTTATAAGGAAATTGACCAGCCTCAAGACAGGGCCTCAAAACTGAATTAAGACAGAATTTTATAAAACCCACAAAACTCTATTACATGGAGCTGTTTATATGTACATACTGCATCATTCTTAAAATTTATATACATTTACTTTGTACCAGATGTTTAGAGAAATAACATTAAGGAAATATTTGTGTTTGTATTAATTTTGTGAATCTGAGCATTTCCCTGTTTGGTAGTGTAGCAAATTGCCCTTTAGAAATTAAATTAACATTTTTATATCAATTTAACCATATGTGTTTATTAACACAAATAAAACAGTATTTCTCTCTTCTCCCTTCTGTGTGTCTGTGTGTGTGTGTGTGTGTGTGTGTGTGTGTGTGTGTGTGTGTGTGTGTATTAGAGGCCTGGTGCATGAAATTTGTGCATGGGGGTGTATGTCCCTCAGCCCAGCCTGCACTCTCTCCAATCTGGGACTCCTTGAGGAATTGAGCCTAAATGGGTAGTCAGATATCCCTCTCACAATCCAGGACTGCTGGCTCCCAACTGCTCACCTGCCTGCCTTCCTGATTGCCCCTAATTGCTTCTGCTTGCCAGCCTGATCACCCCCTAACCACTCTGCTGCCAGCCTGATTGATGCCTACCTGCTTCCCTGCCAGCCTGGTCACCCCTACCTGTCCTCCCCTGCAAGCCTGGTCCCCCTCAACTATTCTCCCCTGTAGGCCTGGGTCACCCCCAACTGTCCTCCCCTACAGGCCCTGTCGCCCCCAACTTTCCTCCTCTGCTGGCCTGATCACCCCTAACTGCCCTCCCCTGCAAGCTTGATCACCCCCAGCTGCCCTCCCTTGCAGGCCTGGTCCCTCCCAACTGCTCTCCATTGCTGGCCATCTTCTGGCAGCCATCTTATGTCATAAAAGAATAATATGCAGATTGAACATCACTCCAACACACATAGGGCAGCCATCTTCTGTGTTGGAGTAATGGTCAATCTGCATATTATTCTTTTATTAGATAGGATAGAGGCCTGGTGCATGGGTGGGGGCCAGCTGGTTTGCCCTGAATGGTATCCCAGATAAGGGTGGGGGTTTTCCTGGGTTGTGGGGCAGCCTGGGCGAGGGGCCTATGGTGGTTTGCAGGCCAACCATGCACCCCTACAATTCAAGAAGAGGCCCTGGTATCTGGGATTTATTTATCTTCTATAATTGAAACTTTGTAGCCTTGAGCAGATCTAAGCTTCCTGCTTGCTCCATGGATGCAGTCATTTTTGTTGGGATTTATTTATCTTCTATAATTGAAAGTTTGTAGCCTTGAGCAGAGGCCTGGGCTGGCCAGGGTGTGCAGAAAGCTTGGCTTTCTCCATTGCCGGGGAAATCCAAGCCTCCTGCTTGCTCCGTGGCTGTAGCCATCTTGGTTGGGTTAATTTGTATACCCACTCCTGATTGGCTGGTGGGCATGGCTTGTGGGAATAGCAGAGTGATGGTTAATTTGCATATCACTCTTTTATTAGATATGATGATACACATACATTTGAACAAAGAAGGTGACCCAGTGCTTTTGACTATGACCTTTTAAAAAACATATATAACTCACAGAACATAAAATTTATTATTTTAAAGTGTATAATTCAATAGTTTTTATGTATTTATTTAATGTATTTATGTATTTTATGTTGTTATAAGTCAGTGGATAGTTCCATTTTTTGTTGTTACGAATAATACTGCTATGAACATTCATTCATAAGTTTTTGTGAGCATGTTTTCATTTCTGTTGAGTATATACCCAGGAATGAAATTGCCTGATTGTATGGTAATTATATGCCTAACTTTTTGAGAAACCGTCAAACTATTTTCCAAAGTAGTTGCATTATTTATTCACTCTTGATTTATTTTTTATTATTATGAAACACTTCATGAGTTCAGCCTTTATTTGCCTTTTGATCTTACTATGTGTTAAGTATATGCGTATGCACACACACGCTTTATCTTTTTTTTTTTTTTATCGGTTCTAGAGAGAGAGGAAGAGAGGTGGGGGAGAGAGAAACAGAAACATCCATATGAGAGAAATATCAATTGATTGCCTCCCGTATTTGCCCCAATCTGGGATCGAACCTGAAACCTAGATACGTGCCCTGACCAGGAATTGAATCCTGCACCCATTGGTATATGGCACGATGTTCAACAAACTGAGCCATACACTTTTTCTAAAAAAGAAACTAAACTGATCAATATCAGAGGTGGGGTTGGAGGAATGATTGAGAGAGATTAATCAGGGAACAGATATGTGCATATATGCATAGTCCCTGGACACAGATGTTAGTTTGGTGAAGGCCTTGCGGGAGTTCAGGGTGGAGAGGGTCTATAGGGGAAAAAAAGGGGGATATCTATAATACTTTTAACAATAAAGATAAATTTAAAAAAATAAAAGAAACTAAACAGCCTCTAAACTTTTCACAAGAGGCAGCATGATGGAATGGAAAACTACCACATTAAGAGTTAGCAAACCCGAGTCTTAATTCCAGCTCATACTAGTAGCTGACTATATTCCAACAGGGCACTGATCCAGTGTATTCCTCTGTGTCCTTATATAAAATTGAAGGACTTACACTGTACACCTCTAAAGGGCCTTCTACTCTGACCCAGTATAGTCAGAACTTTTTCTTTGTCCTTTGGCTGTTATTCTCTGTTGTTCCCAAACTTCCCTTTACTGGTTCATATTGCTATTGGTACATCCAACAAATCCCTTGCATTATAGGAAAACAGAAAATAAATTCTATCCCTCCTAGTGATAAGAATAAATTTTGAAGGGCCCTGGTGGTGCCTGAAAGCAAGATATCATATCAGGGCTATTGGCTAATTAGGAAGAATAGTTGGCCCTGACTGCTGCAAATTTTCACTTCTAGGAAGTCTGTGTGAGAAAAGAAAATTCAAATTTGATTGGTAAGGTTAGTTGTTTTTAAGTCAAAATCTTTGTCCTCATAAGAGTGTGGAACTGATTGATGTGGATGTGGTTGAATTTCACAAGTCTATTTTTTCCTCAGTCACACAAAAATAAGTATTTCCAAATTTTTGTAATTGTAGTATTTAGAGATAAATTATATAACCCTGGAGCCAGGTTATAGGCTTAACTCAATACATTTTAAAGAGACTGCATATTGTAAAAATTTGAACTTAACTCCTATCTCGAAGAGTCAAATGGTAGGATTCTTTTATATACTTAAATGTTTTTTATATTTTGCTTTAGAGAGATTATAATGTTACCCTAGGTTCTCTGAAGACAGGACGTTCTTAAGGCTTTTCCCCTTATCTAAACTAATAAAATAGTAAGATGCAAATTGACCATACCTTTGCGGTGTCCACCAGCCAATCAGGAGTGAGTATGCAAATGAACATAATAAAATGGTGGGTTAATTTGCATATGCAGGCACCACGTGGCTGGGGTGGAATGCTTGTGTTGTCACTATGGTGACAATGCAGGCATTCTGCACCACCCCAGCCACTTGGGGCCTTTGGGCAGTGTGGCAAGGCAGAAAGGCGGCTCCAGGCCAGAGTGAAAATTGAAAAGGCAGCCCCGGCCAGAGCGAAGGTGGTGTCAGCAGCCAGGGCAAGGAAAGCCCATTCTTGCACAAGTCTTCGTGCATCAGGCCTCTAGTTTATTCATAAATTTACTCGTTTGTTCATTTATAATTATATTCCTGATCAAGTAATTATGATTAAGTTTATGGTTTTTGGGTTTTGAGATACCAAGTTGACATTCCAGAAGTGGCCATTCTATCTAGAAACTTTAGTAAAACCTGAGAATGATGCTTAGGGTTAAACTATTATTTCTGGCTGTGTTAAATTTGTGTTGTTGTTCTATGTAAAGGCACAACATAAGCTTAGCCCTGACAGTCTTTATAACATTCATTTTATATTCATGGGTAATATATGGGTAAGGCATTCTGGCACAATGTTTATTATTCCATTTAAATATGAATTGGACATCCTGGTTATGTTTCAGATATTCATGGGCATATATCTAATAGGCAGTATAACATTTTCATTTGTTTGTTTATTTTGCTACGTTTGTTCTAGGTTGGTTCTTACTTGAAATCTCCAAAATTCCCTATTTGGATTGTTGGCAGTGAAACTCACCTCACCGTATTTTTTGCCAAGGTATGCTTATAGTAGGATTTTTTAAAAAAGTATGACATCAGGCAAACAAGTACTATAGGCTTATATTTAGTATAGATCTTTGTGCAAACATCAGTGTATTCCCACTAACAAATGGATTGTTACAAAATCTAAAATATTAACACAAAAGAATCATTATTGTACCATTCTAGTTTTGGAATTTCAATAAAATCTGTCATGACTCAGTTATAGCTTCTTTACCTTTGCTGACTTTAATGATTTGGCTTTTGCTTTTCTGTTTTTTTATTTTTATTTGTTTGTTTTTTAAGAAATCACTTTTGTTATGATAAGAAAATTTTGGATTGTTCATTGCCAAAAAGATTAAACTCTCACATGATATACAATAATTTTAGTTATAATATGTCTTAGGAAAATATTTTAAAATCTATTAATAGTTGAATGGTATAAAAATCAAGTACTCTATTAAAATGGAATATTTTCTGTAGTTTTAATTTATATATGGTTATAGTATTGAAATAAAAAAATGTATTTGAACATATTTATTTTAAAATTCTGACAAAACCTTTTCTAAATAAAGCCTAGCCTTTAACAATAATATATTTTTTCTACAATTGAGTGATTCAGCGCTTTGGAGTCAGACAGCCTTTGTTTGAATCTTAGCTTTTTCACTTCCTAATGCTCTCAGTCCCTTTTCTTATATTTAAAATGGGGATTAAGAATAATACCTGGCTCTTTAAGTTATCAGGTTTAATATAAAATATTTAGCACTACTATTACAAGTTAAATGCTCAATCAGTCTTAGCTGTCACTATCATTTAAAAAAATATATATATCTTATTGATTTTTTACAGAGAGGAGGAGAGAGGGATAGAGAGCTAGAAATGTCGATGAGAGAGAAACATCGACCAGCTGCCTCTTGCACATCCCCTACCGGGGATGTGCCTGCAACCAAGGTACATGCCCTTGACTGGAATCGAACCTGGAACCTTTCAGTCTGCAGATGGATGCTCTACCACTGAGCCAAACCGGCTTCGGCTGTCACCATTGTTTTCATTCTACAAACATTTATTAAACCTCTCTGGTATTCCTAGAGAGAGTTGCTAGACATTGGCCTGAAAGGGAAAAGATATAATTGTGTTTTTGAGGTTTTTTTTTTAGATAGAGTGCACTTTTGATTACTTCATTTTTTTTCTTGTACTTGCTAATGTAAGTTTATATCTATAAGAATTATAAATAGCATAAATTATAGCAAAGACTGAACTAACAATGCTGAATTTTGTGGATTTATTTTCTTTTTTATTCCTATATTTACTTTTATTATGCTGGCAAAAGTCCAGCTAGTGTATTTAGAGAAAGTTATATATACTTACTTTTTTTTTAAACAGGGAAAGCTATATAATACAAGTTAAAGTACAGACTTATATATTACATTTAGTCTGAAAGCTTTTGCTGTTTGTTTTCCTCTTAAAGTGAAGAGGAGGAAGTTACCTCTTAAAGTGAAGAGGGGGAAGTTACTAGTAAAAGCATCATTTAAGCTATAGAAACTGAGTAACTTCTAATTCCTGAATGAGTCCATTTGACTAATTTTTGTTTTAAGTGTTTTAAATTTACAGATAAGAAAATCAAATTTTCTGCTGAAACCAGTTTGGCTCAATGGATAGAGAGTCAGCTTGCGGACTGAAAGGTCCTGGGTTCAATTCCGATCAAGGACATGTACCTTGGTTGCAGGCACATCCCCAGTAGGGGTTGTGCAAGAGGCAGCTGATCAATGATTCTCTCTCATCGATTTTTCTAACTCTATCCCTCTCTTTTCCTCTCTGTAAAAAAAATCAATAAAATATATAATAAAAGAAAATTAAATTTTCAAGCTAATTATTAATTATTTTAACTCCAACCCTATTCTTTAGCATTAAGAAAACTAATAAATTCTGTGAAAGTTTGGTCAAGTGTAAAAAATAATAGAAGAAAATATTTTAAATCTCAAATTTAAAATTGATATTTAAGAAATTAGAGGCCTAGTGCACGGAATTCGTGCATGGGTAGGGTCTCTAGTGGCTGCGGGCTGCTGGCTGGGGCCTCCCTTCCCTCGGCTGCGAGCTGGGGCCTCCCTTCGCACCCTCCTTGGCCTGGCGCTGCCCGCTCACCTGCTCCACCATCCGCCGCGGCCCTGCTCTCATCAGGGCCCATTGGGGCCAGCAGTGCCTCCACTGCCGTCCGCTGCCAACACCATGTTGCCGATGCCTACCATGTCCTGTGCTGCCCCCTGGTGGTTAGCACACGTCAAACTCCTGGTCGGTCAAACTCCTGCCCATAGGGACAATTTGCATATTAGCCTTTTATTAGGTAAGATTATTCTATTGTCAAAACAGCAGAAGGCAGAAGGTTGATACAAGGAATAGTGTTAATTCAACTATGTAAGTATGCAAGCATTTTGTATTCAAGCCATAATAATATATCCTAGTTTTAGAAGATTAGGAATGTTTTCTTGAACAGGTGTCTGAAATGAGCTCTGTGGCATCTGATTAAATTATGCAAAGAGGAGAAAAAAGAACTTTCCCTACCTGGGAAGTATTTGGAACAAACAAACAGCTGCAAAAAGCTGGGCTATGGTGTGAACAAAGAAGAGCTGGGGCACTAAGCATTCAGGGGGCCAGGTGAAAGATGAGGCTGCAAAAGTAGGCAGGCCCTGCAACTCTATTTTAAGAGTTACGACCGCCCCTAGATTTTTTTTTTTTTTTTAAAAACCTGGTGGTGGGAATAGGTTGGAGGTAGATGGGAAGGAAGGGAATGGTTTTAAATTTGCATTTTGGAAAGATCATTCTGGCTATATTGAAGGATAATTTAGAGTGGGTAAACAAAACTTCTTTAATTTTTGGGGTAAGCAAAGAATATGGTAATGATGGTAGAGATGGATAGAAGCACATACATTTGAGAGATTTATTCTGTTAAACTGACAGGATTTGGTGACAGATTGCATTGGAGAGATAAGAGTTTGAGAGTTCTCATGACCTATGTTTTTACTGATTAGATCTTCAAGCTTCAGAAAGAACTCAGTAGTCTTGCTATTATAGAATATATCCGTTATTTATTTTTTGGTGGGGGCACACTGACCAGGTCAAGAGGAAAGATTGAGATACTACAGTTTGGGAACAGTTCAGCCAAATAATCCCTACAGTGAAGTTTAGAAGTTCTTCTCAAAAAGATAGTGCTTTTTAGTTTTCCAAATATTAGCAGAACACCAAGGGTCACCAGACATTTGAGGAATGCTTCCATGAAAAATAGAGTCAGAACAAATAGGGTAAAATGAACTCAGAAGAATGTAGATATTAAAGGACAGTGCAGGGATAAAAAGAAAACTTAAAAAAAAATACACACAATAACACCTAAGAGAAGTTAATATATCCATGAAACTATAGAGGCCATGAGGAAAAAAAAATTAAGAAAAAAGAGAAACTTAAAAATTACTGAAAGAATCAGAAGACAATTGGAGAAATCTCCATCTAGCTTGTTGCAATAGCTTCTAACTGATAACCATGCTGTTGCCCTTTTGGGGGCTGTAGTTTTTTCTCATTTCAGCAACTAAAATGACCCCAAAACTTTATGTCACTGTTCTGCTCAAAACCTGATATTAGTTCTCCTTTTATTAAGAATTAAAGCCAGAGTTTTTGGAATAACCTGTTAGTCCTTCCCTCACCTCATCTGATTGTCTATTTCCTCTTTATTCTTATTTCATACTAGAGGCCCGGGGCACGAAATTCACGCACGGGTCGGGGGGGGGGGGGGCGGGGAGGGTGTGTCCCTCAGCCCAGCCTGGGACCCCTCCAATCTGGGACCCATCGAGGGATAACCGACTGCTGGTTTAGACCTGATTCCTCAGTAAATTTTTGTTGAACAAATAAATTTCAGAAAGCACTGAGGAAAGATTTTCAATAAAAATTTTGATATAACTATGTTTGTATTTGATAAGGGGGACAAGGAGCTTAATAGTACTAACTTGTTCTAGAACATAAGAATTCAGTAGATCAAGAAATAAGAGTTAATGCATGTAATATTCCTATATGGAAGTAAAAACAGAAGAACTAGTTTTTCCTCTTCTACCTAATCAACTGAAGCACTCTCACATACAGATTCTTCCTCCAGATTAATGAATAAAAAGTTTAATGAGTAACTTATATAATAAAAGGCTAATATGCAAACTGTCCCCTCGGGAGTTTGACCGAGTGGGAATTTGACCACTTGCTATGATGTGCACTGACTGCTGGGGGCAGTGTGGAAGGAAGGAAGGAAGGCTCTGGCTGGCAATCAGAAAGCCTTGATTGGCTCTGTCACTGGCCAGGCCTAAGGACCCTACCCTTCTATGAATTTTATGCACCAATCCTCTAGTTTGTAAATAAGCATCCTACAGACTCTGTAATGTTTAAGATTTATTATTCATAGTTTGATGGTGAGTAAGAAAATTGTTTCTATTTAGTGAAATAACTTCTTAGTTACTTCTGTTTTCGTTTTTCCTTTGGATGAACAGTTAAGTTTTAGGACTCTAAGTAACTATACTTTTTAAAAAGAGTTGTTAGCTTCATGATTTTAAATTTGGGTGCCAAAGTGTCTACACTAATAAAAGAGAAATATGCATATTGACCATGCCTCCATGACACCAGCAAATCAGAAGGGAATATGCAAATTAGCAGGACACAGATGGTAGTGGTCCCGCACCCCAGCTGCTCCAGGTGCTGAGTGGCCAGGTGGGGCAGAATGCCTGCTATGAGGAGGAGGTTGGGGGGTGGAGGGAGATACCGGATTGGCACTCCAGCCGGAGCGAAGTGAAGACTCTGGCCAGAGTGAGAAGCCTGCCGACTCCAGCTGGAGTCAGCGAAGACTCTGGCTGGAGCGAAGGTGGAAGGCAGTGGCCAGAGCGAAGGCCTGGATCCCAGGTGCTGGAGGAAAACAGGTGCCGGCAGCCAGTTGCATGAATCTTCATGCAGTGGGCTTCTAGTTTACTTAATAAAGTTTTTTCATATTTGAAA